TTTTGGTGTGATCCACAAACCCAAAATGGGTGTTGAATGTCATAACCCATGGTTTTGCATTGCTCAAAAATTATGAAAAATTCAATATTTTGAACAATGTCAAAAATATTAAATTGATCATGAACATATGGTTGTTCATCTCTTTTAGCCATTTTTGGATTTAAACCATGCTCTCCAATTACGTGGTAGAGTTGGTCTTTTTTTTCAATTACTAATGGGTTGAATTGCCCCCCAAGTGCCATTATTGGCATTAATTTATTCTTGTTTGCTTTTGCCCAAAAATTGAGATTCTGAAATACTTCATCGACTTCTTTATTGAACAGTGGATTCCATAAAAACACATATTCACTTGCATATGGAAATATTGCCATTGGTGGCTCTTGTACCCTTATTGGGGGTGTATACATATTGACCTCTCCAATTTGCAATCCTCGCAATCCACCATGTCCGTAATTAATCTGGCCTTGTTTTGATATCAGGCCATCAAGTGTATTTCTCATTTCAACAATCAACTCTTGCTTCTCTTGAACTGTCATACGTGTTGATGCATTCTTAATCTGCAAAAGCAAATTTCTAACTAGTGTAGGGCTATTTGTTTGGCCTTGAGTAGTCATCCCTTGGTCATTTATCTAGCCTTGATTAGCCATTATTTGACTTATTGGTTGCCTCTTATGGTCTTCTTGGACTTCATCTTGCCTTCAAATTCTTGCCATCATTCCAAATTAGGAAGATGTCCCACTGGGCGTGCCAAAAATTGTTGGTAAAAATTATGATTAGTCTTGATCGACAGAGACTTAACAACAATTTTAACCAAGCAACCAAATAGAAATCAGACAATTGTTTAAAGGTTCTAATGCCTTGAAAGTATAAGGACTTCTTTGGAACAATTAACAATCGAAAGAGTGAAGTAAACACAGAAAAAATTCTATTGAAATCTTCTAAGTTTACAAGGTTACAAACGTTTGAAAGCTACTCCTAAAAGTTAAGATAATCTACTCCTAAGAGTTAAGGTAGGCTACTCCTAAAGATAAAGAAAAAAAAAAAAACAACTATGATAAGTTTGATGATTTGTTGATCCCCTTCTCTTGTTTGTGCCTTGCCAATTTATAGGCTCATGTCCACGGTTTCCTTCAACTGCTCATCCTTCTATAGCCACGTTGCCACAAACATCATCAGAGCAGTTACTTCATCATCATCCAATATGATAGCCATGGTGCCGCACTTTCACAACTTCCTCAAACCACTTGATGCCTTCCATGCCTCCTTATTTCATGGGGTATGGATTTTCATTTCAATTTGTGCATCCCAGTCCAATCTTTGAAAACCTGCAGTTGCAACTTCCATCAACTGCTCATGTTCTGCAATAAAGTAAAAAACAAAAACAATAATAATAATACTAATAGTAAAAATAGATAATGATAAAGATAATAAAATATGGCCATAGTAAATCTTTAAAGATGGTCATGGTCTAAATCGACAGACCAAAATCAGTAAGCCACAATCAATGAGATTGGATTTGGCCATGACCGATAGGTCACAATTGACAGGCCACAATCGATAAAATTATAATTGGCTACAATCGGTAAGCTACAATCAGTAAATTAGATTTGGCCACCATCAATAGGCCATAATCTATGAAGCACGGATACTCCAAAAATAGTGCTGTACGAGTACCGGGTACTTACCAGGTGCGGGTACGCGTACCGGTACGGCTGCACGCGTATCGGGTAAGGCAAAAGGGGGACTGGTGCGTTTGGTTCATTCGGGTACGGGTACGCGTACCGGTACGACGGTACGCGTACCGGGTACGACAAAAGGGGGTTCGGTACGTTTGGTTCATTCGGGTACGGCGTGGGTACGCTGGGCCCTTTTTTTTTTTTTTTTTGTGCCCTTGCAAATTAGCAATTTTTTATTTAATTTTATTTATTTATTTTTTTTTTGGTGCCCTTGCAAATCAGCAATTTTGATGTTTCTCTGTTGTCCTGTCTATTTGTATGAATTGTATAAGCATATCAGCAAATGATTTTGATGTTTTTAAAAAGCAATTTGAACAAAAAAAATAACAAGGCCTATAAAGGGCAGTTCTGTGTATTACTATGCATTATACTTTTGCTTCAGATCCTCCTAGAATTTCTTTATAAAATCTTTAATCATGACAAACTTTTAAAGTTTATGCACAAAATATTAAAAATTGATACGGTATTAGTTGATTAGTAGTGATTGGGAATGATGCAATTTTATGTATTATGCAAATTGCAATTGACAACTTGCCTCAATTGAGAATTTTTTTCCTTTACTGTTGGCAATTAACTTTAAATCTTTCTTTGGTCTCTTGTTATTTCTTTGGTCTCACCCTATAAAAATAGCAAATTGATGAGCAAAAAGAAAGATTTTAAAAATAAATTATGATAACAAATTTACAATGCATAACATGTCAAAGTGAGAGATTTCACAAATATTATTTTTAACTATTAATGGCTTTAAATTATAGGAAAATGAGTAGTTCTCTTTTTAGTTTTGATATTTAATTTTAATTTGTAGATTGGATCCTTTAACCATAATTATATAAAATATATATATATATCGGCGTACCGCAGGCGTACCCGTATCATATTTTTTTGAGTTTTGCCGAATCGGCATACCCACACTCGTACCCATACCGTACTCGTACCCGCACCCGTGCTTCCTAGGCCATAATCGACAAAAAAATATTTATGGTGCAAACAGTGATAAATTTTCCATTTTGTTTTGGAGAATTTATATATATATATATATCTGTTTATTTATTGAATGCAACTCAATATATCAAAATGTCTATTTGAAAATAGGGATTGAATTGAACCCTGTATGTATATGGCAGTTAATGTATAGCATATAGGCTATATTTATTTATATTATAGTTTGGCAATTTCTGGTGAAGGAAATCTCAGAAGTATGTGGTTTAGGGGCTTTGGGTTGGTATGATTTTTAGTTGATCTGGTGAGATTGAGTCCTCCACATGGCAGATTTTCTTCAGCAAGTGAGAAAGTCTTCGGTTCCATTGCTTGCAGATATAAGACTTATCCGATTCCCTGAACATCACTTCCTCCAACTTGTTGTAAGACTTTTTTTTTTTTTTTTGATGTGCTTTAATATCCTTTATTTTTTTTTCTTTCTGTTAGAGCCCGCTTGGTTAGTGCTTTACAGGCGCTCGAGCATTGGCTTTTGGTTGCTCACTTGCTTATCGCTTGACTTGTGCTCAAGTGCTGAAAGTCTTGCAAGGTCTGCTCTCTTAGTGCCAGCACTTGAGTGTGTTACCTTTTTATGAATGCTCTCGCTTAGCGCCCCACAGGTGTTTGAGACCTGAAAATACTGCAGGTGTGCTCGTTCAGTTGCCCTACATACACTTGAGCATTGGTGGTGTGTTTTGGGGCCTATTTTATGACCTTTGTGCCCCTTATTGTTTAAAGACATCCTTTTAGCTTTGTGGGCATGCGAGTAATGGTTATTGAAGCTTTTAGATCCACTTTCTCTCTCTATAGAAGCTTCATAACTTCTTCATCTAGACTCCATTGGTGATGGATATTGGAGCTTGGAGCTTCCTAGATGCTATTGGATCTACGGTGCTTGATGCATCATGGCCATTTTGGAGCGGAGTTAAAGTTTGTTGAAGTTTGTGGTAGACTCAATTCTACGTAAACTTGGGTAAAGGGTTGTAAATCATTCAATTATGCTTTGTAACCATTTGATTTATTAGTAAATTGCTTTTGGACATTGGCGTCATAATTTTCTCCCTGTAGAAGTGGGTTTCTACAGGTTTTCCATGTTAAGTTGATTGCTTACATCTTGATGAGATTGTTAGAATGATAATTTAATTGCTTAATTGATGGATTGATTGGTTTATTGATTAATATTTGAATTAGAGATCAATTAATCACTTGCTAATTTTAAAATTGGTATTGATTTGTCAAATTGGCCTATTGACCCCCCTCTACACACAATTCCATAGTTGGTTAGAATTTCATTCATTATTTTTCTTATCTCAATAAATAAATAAATTAATAAAGAAGGAAAAACAATGAAGAAGAAGAAGAAGAAGAAGAAGAATCTCAACTACTCATTTAACATTGTTATCTTTATGGGTTGCTGAAACTAGTTTTATTGTTTTGTTTGAGTGTCTAAAACATCCCCTTGGTTGGGGAGACCCTGTTGTGTATGTGTATTATCATCAAAATCAAGCACTAAAGAGTAGTGCACTATATGACTCCGTTGGATTCAGTTTTCTTATATTTGCTTATTTTTAATTAACTGTGTACTATAAAAATCATTTTCAGGTGAATATGTTTTTATGGACTGCTCAATGGCACATACAGTTTCCAATCAAATTGTTTCCCCTCGGGCCACTAAAACATGTAAGTTGAGCAATGATTTATTACTCTCTGCTTAATTTAAATAACTGAAAAACTTAGATGGCGTTATTTCCATCCATCCCTCTCCATTAAGCTATGTTACATGGATTCAGGTACAACTTACAAGTATCGGGTGCGAGCGCATGTCTAAGCATAAGATCTTCCTAAATCTAAATCTTAGGATATCAGGATATACATTCAAAGTTGGGTATTGTTAAGGGGACTCATCTTAGACAAATATATATTGCATATTGTATAATATTCTTAGATAAGATGTTATAAATTATTAATGTACTTCAAATTAAATGTGATCTAGGAAAATTATAGAATTTTTATCTCCCATTCGTGTGAGAAGTTAAAAATGTTTCTTTATTAGAAAATGTGACTTGTCTTTTTTTTTTTTCAAATATCATAAAATATTAGAGGATTGGTTTGTCTAAATTGTGTACGGCTGTACGGGGTCATATCCTGGTTCACTTCTTGGTTGGAGATGCTACAAATGACCAAACTACTTGCGATTCAAGTTCAAAAAGACTTTATGGTTTTCATCTGAAGCTGCCCTGGACTTTATTTAGACCTTTATTTTTTTTGATAAATAAATATTCTTGAAGGACGAGGCTAGCGCGAATGCAGGCCCCGTTGCCACAAATTATGACATAGGCTTTGCCAGTTCGCTACCTAGGTGAGCACCCCTCTCAAGTGCAATGGAGGTCGCCAACCTAGGCCATAGGCCTTTTTGATCACCCATAGAACCCTTGGCCTTCATGATTAGCAACATAAATTATTTGCTCTTGATGTTTCTTTCACCATTGTATTCACTAATCTTGAGAGTGCACTCTTGATATTTGTTTCCCTTTGTGGCACCACTTTAAAAGCCAGTTTTTTTGCTTAAAAAAATGCTAGAAAAGAGCCAATGCAAAAAAAGATGCAAGCATTTGGCAACCCATATGACCTTTTGGCTTTTTAATTGACAAAATGATTACCTATTACACCTGAATTGTGTTGAATAGATGAGCCTATTATAGTCATATAGGTAATTTGCTAGCACTGGGAGTTGGGTCAGCAAGAGCATCTAGCCTTTTTGGAGGCAAACATACTTGGCTTTTTTGGGCTTTTTTTTTTTTTTTTTTTTTTTTTTTCTTCTTCTTCCTTGTTGCTTTTTGTGTAAAAGCTGAAAAGCTAGCTTTTAAGTCGGGTCCAATCAGAACACAATTCCTTTCTTCTTTGCTGGGTAGTTCTTACGCCCTGCCTTTGAAAATTTGCTTGAATATCGACTCTTTCAGTTTTCTTCTTTATTTCCTTTATCATTTTTATCCTTCAGAGAATTATTTGTGCTTCTTTGGCTGTATTGTTTGCCTTTTCTTTTTTAAAGTTTCTTATTAGGATTGGGAAGTTATTACCTTGGCTAATTGTGTTATTGTAGTGGAAGGTACATCTCAAAAGGAGTGCAGGGGCCTTACAATTTATCCTAGGCTTGAATTTTCTTGGATTTCATAAGTTTGCTTCATGTAGATCTGATTTGAGAAATAATGCTGCTCCGCCTTAAATTTTTTTTCTACTTACTAAATTTTGTTTCACTTGCCGCCTGTTGGGGTGGTTAGTCTTCCTATGATGCGAATTGTGAGCATTGTTGCATCACTTCTAAATTTTCTCTTGTTTAAGCTAATGGATCTCTGAAGTGTTCATGTTTGTGCGGATCTAGTGCGAACCTTACTACCGAGCATCATACCACCATCATATAGGGGTGCTACCATTCGTTATTTGTATTATGTTAGATGTACATTATCCGGACAATATCTCATATTGGAGAATGAAAACTCTCATGGAGAATTGAGTAGAGATTTTACTGAGCTGGTTCGTTCCTTCACATTTCCTAATTTCTATTATGATCCGTGAAATGATTTTGTTATGCTTCCTTTATCTGCTTGATTCCTAAGAAGGATAATTCTTTGAAGATTGGTGATTTTAGACACATTATTTTGGTTACTTCTCTTTACAAAATCTTGGCAAAAGTCTTATATAGAAGATTGAGGGTGGGGTTGAGAAGGACTATTTCTTCTTCTCAAGGGGAGTTTTTTGAGGGATGCCAGATATTGAATGTGGCCTTAGTAGCTAATGAAGTGGAGTATTGGAGCAAATAAAGAAACTGTCATCTTTAAAGCAGATTTTGAAAAGGCATATAATCATGTGTACCCAACATTCCAATTATGAAATGTCCGTAGAAAACATAAAATATTCAACAAAATCCAACATTCTAAATTTCAATTCACAACAAAAACATTAGACATCTGACAAGCACAAACATTTTTTAGCATTTAAAAACATAAAAAAGCAAGGACTTGATTAATTGCTTAGCAAATAATCTCATCTCCAGCAGTGGCCAAAATTCGTACCCAGCAATGACTAAAGTATCAGCCGTATAGTCTAAGTGATGAAAAAAAATAAGTTCTTAACTTTACTAACAAAATTAAAAACAAATAAAAAGACAAGATTTAACTCCTGGTCTTAAGCTAGGATTTGGTGTGCATATAACATCACATTTTTATTACTACTCAAAAAATAGATGGTTGAGATCAAATCAAAACATTAAAAAAAAACAGCCATTGCCTTGAGCACCTCATGATTGAGCTTGGGATGAGTGCCTTGTTGTTGCCTTGCCTCAGGCCTCTTGAGCCGCTTAAGCTTTGCCTCGCCTAAGCATTTTCTTAGGCATGCTTTTCAAGACAATGGTTTGATGGCAAGGCTGGTAACACTTTTAAGGCTTCTAGAGGTTTCAGGTATGGTGATCCTCTATCCCTCTCTTGTTTTAACCTCAGTGGTTGATGTCTTGAGTAGGATGCTTGATAGGGCTAAGCGGAACGGGTTAGTGGACAGTTCGTACTACAAATAGAGTGTTTTTTTTAATTTTTTTTATCTATTATTATTATTTTTTAAACGGCAACAAAAAGGATTATCATTAAAGAGGAAGAAAGGAATTGTAGGAGAGTCGGAGGACAAGAAGTCCTCCAAAAAGGGGGAAAAAATGAAACAAAGTAGTGTCTCTCAAACAAATCACACATTGCCCTCCAATCCCTAGAAATCAAACAATGATGGTATTCCCCTAAAAGGAGAGGACATTGAAGCCCAAAAAGAAGACAAGAAACAAGCTCTATCCCATAAGGCTTTACATTATCCATCTTGTCCTCAAAGATCCTTGCTTTCTCTCCAACCAAATAACCCAAAAGATTGCATGAAGGAATCATCATCACACCACCTTCGCCTTTTTATTACTAATTTACTACCAAAGTCCCTAAAGTCAATCAAAAGAAAATGGGAGTACATGTCCGGGGTGGGGCACTAGGATTGTCCATGATAATGTCAAAAAAAGATTTGTATGAGAATAATCCTGAAGCATGAAGTAACCACACCCACTTATAATAGGTAGAATGGAATTAACAGTTTACTTTGCAAATCCAATGATTTTGGGATATTGTAGAAATAGTCAAATACCTTCCATGATGTGGTCATGAGGTAGGATCCAAGAAGTACGGACACTTCTAAGAAGGTGACATATCTGTGTTGTGTCCGTGTCAGACACCGACATTCTTTGGACACTTTTCCGACACGTGTCCAACACTCTTCAAAACATGTCCTATTTTTTAATTTTTTTTAAAGACCCAGACTTTCTCTGGACACTTGGAGGACACACATGTCTATTACTTAAACACACGATTAGACACAAGTGAAACTAATTATAAATTTGAATAAAACAACGTAAGATATAATAATAAAACAAAAACCATATAAATTTATAAGAATTAGTGTCATATTGTATTTTTTATTATCTTTGAATGATATATTTATATATATAACATATAATAAATATATAAAATTATATATTTCATGCGTGTCCCCTACATGTCGTGTTCTGCATTTTTTGAAAATTAGCGTGTCGGCGTGTCTGCGTCATGTCGCATATCCGTGTCCGTATCAGTGTCCGTGTCCATGTCCATGCTTCTTGGGGTAGGATGAGTCTAACTCTGTTCTCCCACAGGAAGATTAATTCTTTTCCTCTCCTATTCTCAAAAATTCCCTTGAACATTGAACATGGATCATTGGTAAGGTGTATGACACATGTTTGGAGACAGGATAGCTTTCTCTTTTTTCATATGCTATTTTTTTTTTGGTTTCATGAACTTTGTTTTTCAATATAAGTTTTATGAAGTTCAATTTCTTCAGGAATCCCGAATTCCATTGCAAATATGGCTCACTTAGAAAACCAATGGTTTTCCAATTGAAGGTTGGAGTGACGGTGAGTTTTTCCTTTGGTTCTGCCTTTTTGTCAACTGTAAAATTGTTTAACTTCCATCTTGAAACTTACTTTTTATTTTGGATTGGAACTAACATTGTCAGCCCATGGTTTTGAAAATTTATTATCTTAGAACTGTTACAAAACCATTGACAGCAATGAAAATATGAGTGCACAGATTCTTTAGTTTTGCTGAGTCTTTCCTAATCATAGGAAATCATGTAAGGCTATCCTACGTTGCTTGAATTTAAATTAACTGATGTGCTAGGTTCTCCAGCTCACATAGTAGTGTTGCTCAAGGTACATGACAGGTACCCTCCTTCCGCACCAATTATCCTCTTTGAAATTTGCGACAATTCACGAAGGGTTGATGCCAGGCCAAAGCTGAAAGCAAAATAATGTAAACCCTTGATGGATTACAATGTAATTGTTGAAGCAGACTCCAGAAATTAAGAATTAGAGCTTGGTGGCCTTAGTTCAATATTATTTAGCTTTGTAAACTTGAAAAACTCTGAACTAGCGGGTTTATAGCTGGAATCTAGGGCACTATAAATGACTTATACTGAGTATCTGTTTACATTTATATTATGTGATTGTACTGTGAAGTTGTGAACTTGCCCCTGTGGAAGTACTCATGTTGAACTTTTATGTGGTTTATAAGTTTGCTTGTAACTCATGGATATAATCTTTTTCTATGCACTTTAAATGAGCATAACTTGTAATCTATATTTCCAGGAATTGTTCCTGCTTCAACTGTCCTTTTGGATGTCTACTAGAAAGAGATGGATGGAGACACTGATTGGGTAAGCTGCTAAGAATACATGTCCATTTCAATATATGAATGCCCTGTCTAATAGTATATTTCACCAACCAAATTGTCTCTACTAATTTGAAAAGTGGATTCATGAACTTGTATGTAATAAAGTTGTGCTACCTCCTTACAGGCTAGAGCTAATGAATCATACGATGGAGTTGAGGAAGGCTGTGATAACTCAAGAGATGAAATCTTGTCCGTGTCTTCCTACAACCCTGCCAAGGAAAATATACACACAGCCTTCGGAAGTTCGTTATCCTTGCAGTCATCTGTTGGAAGATCTTCAAATCAAGATGCTTCTCTCAAAGAACACACTAGCATATATGCATACGTACCACTTTCTCAGCTGTCTGTGGCTGCTGAGGTCTTATATGATTCTGGTGGGGCTAAGCTATTCTTGGAGCATAAAAAATTCCTTTGTTGCAGTGAATTTATTTTACTTTTTCCACTTTAGAAATAGTTATTGTGATTGCCTTTTCCCCTTGTATTAGGTTGGTAGGATAGTTTTCATTGTAGTTTCTTCACATGTCCCCTAGCATGATCAAAACCTTGTAAGTTTATCTGTTTTGAATAATAAAGCTACTCTTGTTAGTGATGGAAATCTTTGTGAACAGATGTTTCGTCACCCCGGAAGTCTTCAGCCATGCTCTCCAAGTCATCAGCTTAA